TATAAATAGTTCTCGAGATTGTCAGTAGAGCAAATAGATGAGTTGACATGAAAACTGTTTCTAGACAAAAATGACAAATTGCTTATTCATCTTGAGCCAACTGATAGTTCTTGCGTCAAGAAGCTATTCCAAACTGGTTTGCTTTGAGACCATTCAGCCTACGACTTGCTTCGTAGCAAAAACAGCTTCCAGTCTGTCGCGAAGGCCGGTCACCGAGTCTAGCAGCGATGGCGTCATGTGACCCGTTGCAGGGGAAAGAAAAAGCCGTGGCTCGAGTCCCGCAGAAGATGTGGATGTGGATGTGCTTAGGTCAGGCTCGAGGCTTGAAAGGAGGATGATCTTTTGAACAAGTCTTGTCTCAAATGATCACGTCCCGAAAGTCGCGCCAAAAGTCTGCCAGACCAAATAGCCAGACCTTCTTTCCATGTCTCCAGTCCGTCAATTGAGTCGGTCTGAAAATTGCATATTTTTTCCCTTTTTTCCCAGTCGCAGACCTTCTTTTCAAGGACTGACCTTTCCCCAAATTGGACCCCACCACTTACTACCCACCGCTCACCATCCCCCACTCCTCTCCCCACCCTCGCTCCCTCGCTCCCTCGCTCCCTCCTTCCCTCCACCCAATCGGCGCTGCTGCAATAGATCTTGACTTGCCAGCACCAAAACAAGCAGTCAGCAACGGCCCCATAGTCAGTTGCCAGTCACCCCGGCACAGCAACGCCCTAATCCCACCCTCCATACCTCGCCTACCCACACCCCTGCTTCGCCTACACCTGGTTAGCCCCGGGCCAGGCAACCGTTTAACTGGCTCAGATTGTTTTACATCTTCTCTAAGTGCTTCGACCTTCGTCCGTCCACTTGGTCAGACGGCGACCCAGGTCACCGAGGTTACAAGACAACAAATGCCATGCATTAGTAGACTTGTCCGAGCCCTGTCAAAAGAGGGGGGAGAGTGAAGAGGCTGGAGGTGGTGATGGGGATAAGGAGGTTCGGAGACCACTGCACGAGAGTCGGCAATGGCTACTGTTGAGGTTGAGGGTGGGGTTAGGGGGTATGAGAAAGAGGGACGGATGGTGGAGGAGACAAGACTGGGCGAACGGAGAAATGATGGCCCGAAGCTGTGATTGGTGGGCGGAGGCCGGACTCGGACTTGTGGACGGCAAAAGAGGGCGAAGTAATCTCCGGCGGCCAACGGTCACT